ATGAAAATACAATGTTCGGTCGAGCTACAGGACCTGTCCTTTAGTGACGTGATGTGGTGTGATGCTTCCTGTCCAGTGTGCAACTTTGCTTTGGATGATGAACAGATCAAAATGTAAGTTATTCTTCATTGGTAATTTTCCATTTTGCTTGCTGAACCTTCCAGAGAAATGTCTCTTGGACATGACATTGTCAACAGTTTATGTGCATTGTATAGTAGTAGAGAAACAAAATTAAACTGATAGTGCCGGGTCTGGCTCAGTATCCCAATGGAGTGTTGTTTCTGAGTCAGTTTTGACTGTTAGCATGCACTTAGCACTTGGTAGGTATGCAGGAGTTGGAGCCAAGTATTTGCCCACGAGATGCCCTTGTAATGTTCTCAGATCTGACCTGATTGTGACTGCATCTCGAATCGGGACTCTCACCCCTTTCCCCACAGCACGGCCACTTTGCCCTAACTCTCAGGGACTCCTGCAGAGATAGATTAGCCCGGCTAGAGCGTTAATGTTCTCTGAGCCACAAGCATCCTCCAGGGTCAGTGCTCCAGCTGAAGATTAGGTGTAGACCTGTGAAAGTAGGCCAAGCATGGACTCGGCTACCGACACCCCATCTGTTTCAGTGCCGCCTCATTGTGCTGCCCTTTTAAAGTCCTGTTTCGAGGTCACGGCGAAGAGGAGGCGGCTGGTTTTAATGGTCGGGATCCAGCTATTCATGTATTCATCTAAGGCACCTCTGGAGTGCCGAGGCTGCACATCTGAGCCTGAAGGACAGCTGGAATTGTTTATCGGTTAATGACTTCTCTCCCCTCGCGGGTGTTTGCCGCCTCAGCTGCTCCCCGGCTACATTAAAGCATCCTGGCTCTCTGAAGTCTCATCAAAGATGGACCCATAGACCTACTTACATAGTGCAGAATGTCTGTCTGTCCACCTTTGCAAGTTGAAGACTGATTACAAAGATACATCTCTTTGTTCAGTCCAGGGTATTTGCACTTGTTGGGGTTGCCAAGGCACAGAGGACCATGATATTTGGCAAGCAATTAGGTGATTGTACAAAGTGTATAATTAAGTCTCCTGCCATCATTACCTCTTGACAAATTTCAGATCCCTCAAAGAGCCACTTAGTGGTTGATCCAGTGAAAATTGATTGGAATAAAAAGCCATTGAGATCATACTGATATCAGTGCAATGTGATGCAAAAGAAAAGGCTAGCTAGCCATTTGAATGTAGTCCCTATACAATTACGGATATCTTTTGTCACTAAATGTACTTAAGCTTCAAGAGTTCGTATGAAGGTGTCCCCATTAAGCATGGTATAACTCAGACTGCTTGATAAGGTGTCACCATTATTGTCACTCACACTGTCATCTCTCCATTTGTCCAATGAAGTTATCCATTTTCATGGTCATTATGACAGTAATTCTGATGTCAAACGACATCTGAAAATTAGGAGCAGCTTCTGTCTAGCCATGCATTCCAGTAAATGAGTATATAAGAGAGTAAAACTTCAGACAGTGAAGGTTGAAAGCAAAAGTGCAAGACTATCCTAAAACTTGCTGTGTTTTTTGTTAATTTTTTTTGCTACGGTTTGTCCTACACACATTTATATGACCTTCCAAGTTACGAACTTGCTCTTTCATATGCTGCATCTTCTCCTCACAATGTTTGGTTTAGGGAGGTGTTTTCACAGCAGATATCTTTGGACATATTTATGGCTGAATGTCCCTCTTCCGTGCAATGCATACATGCAGACTCCATCTGCTGTTTTCTTTGTATTGCATACCTTCTTCACATCAGCAGTTTTATGGCTGTGAATGATGGGTCTTTAGCTTCTTTTGATTATATCCATGCCTGACAATCTCAGCATAGCAAACCACCCAATTTATCATCCCTAACCCACTGCTTGTTTTACGCTGGCTCTCGACAGCTGAACTTGTGCTCTGTTTCTATGGGCAGTATAGCTAGGCTAAGTTTCCTCCAGCGGGAGCACAGAGGGAATCCCACTGAGGCTTGGGGAGTGATGGAGGTGGGTGGGTGTCTCTTAAGTAGCTGTCTGGTCAAGAATGGTCTTTTAATGTAGGCTGAAATGAATGTGGTAATTAAGCTGCACTGTGGGCCACAGGACCTTGATGAATATTATCACTTAATTATAAGATCACTATTCCCAGCACGCATTTGAGCTCTGCTAGCACACAATTTCTTTCCCAGTGAGGATGGGCGGTGGTGCATGTTTTTTTGCATACATATGCATGTGTATGGGGTGTGTTCAATGTGTGTGCTAGTTCCAAGAAATTGTCTAACCATTACTTTTACCAACTAATTGTTGCAATAGAAATAACAACTTTACACCAAAGAACTGTAGCCCATTAGACAAAAATAACTTTGCAGTAACAATGGTATAACTTTTGAATTCATATGTAACCTTTTTAAAACAATGAGTAAAACTGCTGCAGTATGAAGATTTATAAAGACTAACTGTCATACATATCTAATAATTATTACTCATTATTGGTTTTCACCAGTTATTTTACATGATTCTATGCCGATTTTATTGGAGTTTATGGCAATGTTACTCATTACACATTTATGAGATTGGTGTAAACTTAAATACCATTGTCATAGTATTGCACTTGTAACAAGTATCATTGTAAACTTAAACTCATAATAACATTATCATAAACAACTCCTAATAAGTAACAGTGTTTTAAACTCGCAACCAATAACAATGGAATGAAGTAAAACCAAAACATGTAAAGCAAGTGTTGTCACAAAGCAGACTCAGATTTAAAGGTGATCTATTATGCAACAATCTCTTTTATAAGGAGTTTGAACACAGTTGTGTGACTGCAGTGTGTGAAAACAACCAGCCTATAATGGTAAAACTCCACCCACTAATGTTTTTATAATCCCAATAAATCATAAACAGTCTCTCCAAATGAGCGGTTCCAGATTTCTCCCTACGTCATCGTAGGGAAAATGTCCCGCCCATTTGTGACGCTCTCTGCCCTATTAGCATAGACACAGCCCTGAGTGAGAAGCAGCAGTCCGCCATTACTGTTTTCTTGCTGTAGTTGCTGGAGATACAATGTCAGCGCCAAAGAGGCATTACAAGTGTCGTGTCACTCATGTGTTGGGATGCATCAACGAACATAGGAGTCTCCATAGAATCCCTCCATCTGAGCCGCTGAGGACACAGTGGTTAAATTTCATTTTCGAAGGAAATGTCCCAGGAAAAAAAACGGAAAAGTCCTACATGTTTGTGCTAATCATTTTACACCTGACTGCGTGCTAACAGAATGATCATAAATAGGAGTGTGGTAGTTAAAATAATCACAAGTGGGACTTGGGCTACGTCCACACGAAGCCAGAGCTTTCCATATCCGATCTTTTTTTTTCTCCTCGTCTCAAATATCTGCGTCCACACGTAACCACGAAATCGACACAAAACGCTGTAGTATACATGCCAGACCAGCATGTGGCGCTCACTCATGTGTTGGGATGCATCAACGAACATAGGAGTCTCCATAGAATCCCTCCATCTGAGCCGCTGAGGACACAGTGGTTAAATTTCATTTTCGAAGGAAATGTCCCAGGAAAAAAAACGGAAAAGTCCTACATGTTTGTGCTAATCATTTTACACCTGACTGCGTGCTAACAGAATGATCATAAATAGGAGTGTGGTAGTTAAAATAATCACAAGTGGGACTTGGGCTACGTCCACACGAAGCCAGAGCTTTCCATATCCGATCTTTTTTTTTCTCCTCGTCTCAAATATCTGCGTCCACACGTAACCACGAAATCGACACAAAACGCTGTAGTATACATGCCAGACCAGCATGTGGCGCTGTAATTCTGCCACAGAGATACACTAAAACGTTCTCCTCGTCTCAAATATCTGCGTCCACACACACGTAACCAATCGACACAAAACGCTGTAGTATACATGCCAGACCAGCATGTGGCGCTGTAATTCTGCCACAGAGATACACTAAAACGGAGAAGAAGGACTTGGACTACGCGCATAAACCTTGCACGTGGTATACAAACGAACATGGAACAATACATTTATTAATCTGTTAATGTTCGTTAATAAAAAAGACAATCGTTCATTGTTTGTTCATGTTTTTGTTGCTGTTACGTGTTGTAGCAGTGTCTGACTTGGGGCGAGATGTGGGCTGATGACGTCATCGTTTCAGAAAATATACGGATTCGCTGTCCACATGAAAACGCAAGGGTAGCGTTTTCAGATTTATCCACTCTGGGACCCGGTTTCAAAAAATATCGGTTTCACTCTCCCAAAACGCTGGATCTGTCTGGACGAAACGCCTATATGATACATAATTTATGCGTATACAGCTAAACACGTCCCCGTGTGGGGCCTTAAAGTTAGTAAAGTTAGGCACCATGAGACCAGCTATGTCATTATTTTTATTGTGCCGTGCTCCCCGTCTGTGTAATTCATAAATGCGCATTTATTATGCATATTACAATCAGATGACTGACCTTTGAACAGAGTATTTTTTCTGTAAAGATAACAGGCTTGTACTAATATTGGGATGTTTATTTGCAAAGGCCAGCAGTGGTATGCCGGAGCGTGAGATCTTGAAGCTCCGCCCTCTTCTGAAAAGGCAGAAGGGAGCACCAGCTCATTTGCATTTAAAGGGACAAACACAAAAGCGGCGCGTTTTGGCTCATACCCTAAAAGTGGCAATTTCAACAAGCTATAAATATTACCTGTGGGGTATTTTGAGCTAAAACTTCACATACACACTCTGGGGTCATCAGAGACTTATTTTATATTTTGTAAAAAGAGGCATAATAGGTCCCCTTTAAAGGCATTTAGGAATAATTAATTAATAAATGTATTTATTTTTTCATTTATTTTTTTTTTTTTTTCATTTTTTCCCCACAATTTATATTTAGCAAATTTGTGTTTATGTCGTGTATTTCATTGGGCAAATATGTGTACAGTTTTAAGTTTCTCATCTCTCTCTCTTTCCCTCAAGGACAACTACACCTTTGCCCAGCCTGGGATCCAGAGGAAAGTGAAGGCACTGGAGGAGCTGGTCAGCCGGATTGATGGTGCGTACCCTTGGTGAAGCACACCCTACTTAGATCTGCACTCTCCTTTTTTCTGCCTGTGTCCTCTCTCTCTTTCTCTTTATCTCTCTCTGTCTCTGACTAACCCATACCCCCCAGCCCCCTTCAGCTCCAGTGTCAGCCCCAATCAGTGCACCAGTGCTTTGGCCTTTAGTGGTGAGCGCTCGCTGCTCTGGCCAGGAAAGCAAAAGGCACTGGAGCATAAGCCTCTCTCATTACTTTCTATTAGGTGACCGTAATCAGTATTCAATGCCCATTTCTCTGAGACAGGAAGCCCTCTCCCTCCTCCCGCATGAGGCCTCTATCTCCTCAGCCTGCATTAGACCCAATGATTGCTTTAATTTCTGAGAGAAAGACTGCAGTCAGAGCGTATTGTTGATGTTTTTTGCCCCACTCACTTTGTGTCTAGGTGGGGAATAGAGAGAGACTGTGTGTGTTTCATTCTCATCAGTTTTTACGCTATATATAGAGCTGTTTGATCTTTCCTCCACTTCTGTTTTGATTGCTTGCTCGATTCTATACATTTGTTCCAGCAAAAGCTTTTTTGTCTCTTCCAGTTTGATTATTCAGCTATATACGAGACCTGTCAGAGGAAAATAAGGTTGAAAAGTGGCTGATCACAACATAATTTCTGCTTTTCCACTAAATAAATTCCTCTATTTTCTAAGCACGAAGACAGCTACCTTTAGGCTGATGTGCTTTACCCACATCTGTCTCCACAGACAAAAAACAAGGTGTACCGACCTGAAACCCGCTAAAACTAGATGTTCCTCTAGTTTGCATCAGTCTAGTGCTTTTGAATCGAGTAGTGTGATGTATTTCACAGAGACAAGCACGTTAACATTGGTTTAATGAGCCTGGTGAGTGAGCATTATCAGTGGAAGTCTTTATACTCAGGCTTGTTCTTGAGTAACCTTCACATTGTCAGGCTCCAGAGCTTTTCGCCTGTCACATTTATTGTGTTTAGCCACTCTTGATTACAGATAATGTCTTCTATTAGACATTCAAATGGGGTTTGGAAGTGGTTTGCAAAGAAACCAATGAAAGGGAACAATTGATATTTGAGATTCATGCATACGACACTTGCCTTTTTTTTTATTCTTCACCAGTTTTCAGCTAAACAATAACTTATGCTTTGTGAGTAATTATGAAGGATACAGTTAGTGATCATGTTGGATATGTGTGTACTGTAACTGTTTCTTGCTCGGTAGTTGCTATTTTAATGTTATTATTGGAGTCATGGCCTACCATTTAGCAAATATTCTCCAGTTATATAATACCACACATCTTAATAATATGTTCAGAAATTTGCTAAAATCATTAAATGAACAGTGTTATTTTACATTATGTACCCAGAATTATGAAATTTATCATTGTGATTCTTCAATTTCTAAAATACCTGCCCTAATGGTTGTGTAAAAAATAAATTGGCTTGTTGTTTTATTGGTTGGTCACATGGTTATCCGTCCAGAATAAGTAAAAGTGTGCAATAAATTGTATGAGGTATTCACAAATGTATTGATTGTAAGGACTTTCACACCATGTCCTAACAAAATGCAATGCAATAAGATTTCAACGACAAGCAATTTGACAAACAATTTGACTATGGTGTGACATAGCTATTAGGGATGTGCGCGACGACTAATTTGACTGTCGTTTAAACTAAAGTTTTGTATCCGACTAGTCTAAATGCAAGAAACCCCCAAAAGATGATAAGAAAAAAAAAACTCTGTGCGTGTAGCATAGGCCTATATAATAGCCTATATTTGAAATACTTAATCTATGAATCACACTGTCAAATCCCTCAATGAATTCCGCTTGCCGCACACTTGCCTCGCGTTATCATCATTTCATTTTAGGCGGTCGTTAAAAAGAAAAAAAAAAAAAGAGAATACAACTAAACGTCGGCCAAAGAATAGCTTA